TCGGAGAAAATTTTTTTAAAGGAAAAAGTTGCTTCGAATGGCCTGAGGAACCCGCCACTTTCGGATTGCGAGACATTTGTGGGACATCCTGTATATACAGTATCAAACTCTGTACAGTACACATCAGACACTGCCGTCCAGAAAAATAGCCTCGCGCAGAATTCAGCCGTACCTAAAAGGTTAACAAATCACCTTTTATCGTTATTCGTTGAGAAGCTTCTACTTTCCCAAATCGATTCGCCGCTCGACACGTGTACTCGCCGCTGTGCACTTCCGATGGATGATTCAGTTCAAGTTTTTGAGAGTTATCGGAAAACTTGTATTTTTCGTTACCGACTACCAACTGTGTACCGTCCTGCCAAAATAACGACGATACTCGATAAATCGCATCGAAATAAATTTCCGAGTATGGTGAAACAGTACAATAGTGAATAAAACCTGAACAGTAAAATATTGCCCCGATTTAGAAATTGAACACGAACTCCTTAATCGATTACCTTAAACCATGTGACGCTTGGCTTCGGCATACCATCCGCAAAACAGTGAAACTCTACTGTCTCGCTACCTCCGGTGGTGACGTCGATATTTATTTCGTCTTTCTTCAAGTTCGTATCGGTAATAATAGGCACTCGTGTACCTGAAACGAGAATAATATTATCCAACAATACATCATTCAACCTCCGCACTTATTGGTATTTTTGAACAACTTCAATATTTGATAGAGCTGTCTTTACTATTCGATAGAGCATACTCGAATTAGTTGTCAAAATTTTTTTAGTTTTCATTGAAAATCAGTCTCCACCATTTTAATAGAGGTGTACGAGTGATGTGGGACACTCTGTCCCAAAATTATTGTACAAGCGGGAAATGAGGGGTTCCTGAGGTCATTCGAAGTAACTTTTCCCTTTGCAATAATATTCTCCGAAGCATCGTTAACGAGTTACTAACGAAAAACGTTGACCAATGAGAGGCGGGCTCGACTAGCGCTAGGCGGCCGAGCCAACGAGCGGTTGAAGCCCGGTTCCGTTCATTGGCTCGGCTGCCTCGCGTCAGCTGATCTCGCCTGCCATTCGTCACTGCATTTTCGTTAATAACTCGTAAACAAAGCCTCGCAGAACATTTTCGCTAAGGAAAAAGTTTCTTCAAATGACCTCGGGAACTCTTCATTTCCCGCTTGTACAATAATTTTGGGATATCGTGTATATTTACGTTGTTATTTTTACGACCATTTTTCACATGAAACATAATGATCGTACATACCATGCACCTGGACATACGTCCGCGAATTCTTCTCATGTATCTCCCCCTTTACTCTGCATTCGTAAATACCTTCGTCGTTGTAGGTCACGTTTGTGACCCTCAATGAAGCTATTTTCTCAATGTCTTCATACACATTGGTAACTTTATTGATCGAGATAGTGATTCTGCCGCTCTGAAATATCAAATTGCTGTGTCTAATTGAACTGGGACGGGTGTGGATGACACGAATTGAAGCTTGTATGTCAAAATCGATACTTGTTGCATTGGAATCCAAAAGATATGGTAGTCTTCATTCCACGGAATAACCACCGCGCACTCCAGATATAGTGTTTCGCCCTTGTTTAAGAGCTGCAAACCACTATTATTAACAATTCTTGGTTCGGGAATTTTAATCTCCCCTGAATGAAAACAAATCGTAGGTTGTTAAAAGCCTATGGACCTTCGTGAAATACAAGCATTTTCATTTATCGTGAGAAAAATCCACTTCTTTTATCGATGATTTTCATTAATAAATCAGTTTCATCTATTGGGTTGGCAACTAAGTAATTGCCGATTTGTTCAATGAAATCTGTCTCTTATACACATCTAGATGTGTATAAGAGACAGATTTCATTGAACAAATCGGCAATTACTTAGTTGCCAACCCAATATTCCAAAGATGTGTATAAGAGACAGATTTCATTGAACAAATCGGCAATTACTTAGTTGCCAACCCAATATTCCAAAGATGTGTATAAGAGACAGATTTCATTGAACAAATCGGCAATTACTTAGTTGCCAACCCAATATTCCAAAGATGTGTATAAGAGACAGATTTCATTGAACAAATCGGCAATTACTTAGTTGCCAACCCAATATTCCAAAGATGTGTATAAGAGACAGATTTCATTGAACAAATCGGCAATTACTTAGTTGCCAACCCAATATTCCAAAGATGTGTATAAGAGACAGATTTCATTGAACAAATCGGCAATTACTTAGTTGCCAACCCAATATTCCAAAGATGTGTATAAGAGACAGATTTCATTGAACAAATCGGCAATTACTTAGTTGCCAACCCAATATTCCAAAGATGTGTATAAGAGACAGATTTCATTGAACAAATCGGCAATTACTTAGTTGCCAACCCAATATTCCAAAGATGTGTATAAGAGACAGATTTCATTGAACAAATCGGCAATTACTTAGTTGCCAACCCAATATTCCAAAGATGTGTATAAGAGACAGATTTCATTGAACAAATCGGCAATTACTTAGTTGCCAACCCAATATTCCAAAGATGTGTATAAGAGACAGATTTCATTGAACAAATCGGCAATTACTTAGTTGCCAACCCAATATTCCAAAGATGTGTATAAGAGACAGATTTCATTGAACAAATCGGCAATTACTTAGTTGCCAACCCAATATTCCAAAGATGTGTATAAGAGACAGATTTCATTGAACAAATCGGCAATTACTTAGTTGCCAACCCAATATTCCAAAGATGTGTATAAGAGACAGATTTCATTGAACAAATCGGCAATTACTTAGTTGCCAACCCAATATTCCAAAGATGTGTATAAGAGACAGATTTCATTGAACAAATCGGCAATTACTTAGTTGCCAACCCAATATTCCAAAGATGTGTATAAGAGACAGATTTCATTGAACAAATCGGCAATTACTTAGTTGCCAACCCAATATTCCAAAGATGTGTATAAGAGACAGATTTCATTGAACAAATCGGCAATTACTTAGTTGCCAACCCAATATTCCAAAGATGTGTATAAGAGACAGATTTCATTGAACAAATCGGCAATTACTTAGTTGCCAACCCAATATTCCAAAGATGTGTATAAGAGACAGATTTCATTGAACAAATCGGCAATTACTTAGTTGCCAACCCAATATTCCAAAGATGTGTATAAGAGACAGATTTCATTGAACAAATCGGCAATTACTTAGTTGCCAACCCAATATTCCAAAGATGTGTATAAGAGACAGATTTCATTGAACAAATCGGCAATTACTTAGTTGCCAACCCAATATTCCAATTTATTTCTTAAATTAACGATGTAACTGTCTCTCACGTGTAATTTTACTAAGATGAAAACAACAAAACGATCGTGAAATAGTAAAAAGTGCATCTTCCACGTGGAAATTTGGCGAAGGATAGACTTTCCAAAGATAGACTGTGATATGAGCATCGCTCAAGGAATGTACTCACTCGTTACAGCTACATTATAAGAGACCTCTTGATCAGGTTCGATGGTGCATATGTACAACCCGCTTCGGAACATGTCGACTTTGTGCAGTGTAAATCCAAATTGTGGATCGAAAGTGGGTCGGATGAATGCAAAATGACTAAACTGCACAATGTGTGTTTTATTAAATGACTTCTTCCACATTAATTGTACGTATCATCAATCGAGAAGCCTACGCAACTATATCAGAACAAACAACTATTCATTCTTGTCCATGACTAGATCCGATCAATGCCAATCTTTTTCTTGACACATGTAAAATATCGTTCTTGCAAACATTTCGAATATTCCACGTAGGATAGCGGTGCCTTGCAATGCCTTTGTTTTGTTTTCGGGCGTAATTAATCTCTTAATTAATCCCGGCCGTACCATACGATGTACGCTAAGAACGGCGAATTTATATAATAATATAATATGATATATAAAATAATATAATATAATATATATATATATAATATAATATATAATAATATAATATAATATATAATAATATAATATAATAATCACAGAAAACTGAATTTCACTACATTATAACAATATCTATTTATTTCTCTGAACCGAATTACTATAAATATTAGAAATTTGATATTAACGTAGAACTTTTTTCTCATCTAGCAGGAATAAATATCGATAAAATTTTCAGGGCGCCCATAGGCGTCCTCTGTGTCAGGAAACCAAACTGCGAGAAGCGCCTATAGACGCTCTCAGTATCGCAAACGCAAAATTATATATATATATTATTATATTATATTATATTATATTTATCGAATAAGATATATTACATTTATTTATTCAAAATTGCATAGAATAAAAGAAAAATTATTGAATATATCTTATTTGATAAATATAGAGCTAATTATGCCTGAAAACAAATCAAACTCATAGTAATTGGTCACTTGACAATTACCGGCTCCAACTACCCTATTCAGATTTATAAGAAATCTTACGCAATTTCGTAATATCTGCCAGGTGTATACTATCTTTTTTAGTTGATTCGGTGGAAACGTTTTGTAGCTTGAATGTTACGTTGCTTCACGAAGTTCATGATAGAAAATGTTTTAAGCAAACACCTACTTCGGGGGGCTCTTTAAGCTTGACTTTCGCTGTTGGCGACGTTGGTCTACACGGCACGACAATGTTTTCGCCTACAGTTGTCTCTAAATTATGTGACTCCGCTAGTTCCACAAATCGAATTGTTTTAGCTGAAACATAATCATTTAAATCCTAAACTCCTGTAGCGTCCTGATGTTACAAAGGACGTCTGCAGATTTAGTCCACTGAGCTGCAGTTATCATAGGAGTCTCCCTTGTTCGACACCACACTGAGTTTTCGGACAATTTTTGGCACAAACCTTTGCAATTTAACATTAGATTTACGGAGCACAAAAAAACACAGCTGTTTTATATTAGTTTATAAAAGTAACAATAAGACATTTATATTATGATATTTAACAAGTGCCATCGTAACATTTACCGTAAGTAACATATAAATTGAATAAATAACACGTAAATGTATCTTTGCGAGATGAATAATTGCAAATTGAAAAAATTAGTGATCCGTCATTTCGACGGATTCCGTAAATCTAGTGTTAATAATAATAGAAATCTGAAGTACGCTTACACTCGACGTAGGTGTAAGTCCAGTCGATTTCAGGATCGAGATAATCATCTCTGGTGCCCAGAAAGGGTTTCGTTGAGCAACCATACCAACCGGTGTCCCCGAACACTGTCTTCGGTCGATAAAACCTATGCCAGTAGGTACCATTTTCATATTGGCTTTTGCTTATTTCGATGGTCGACGTATACGAAAATACTGTATTGGACTGTTGTTAGAGCACATGTTACTTTCACTTTCAACACTTTGTATTCGTAACATTATCTTATGGTACCGCTACTTACATCACGTATTCGGTTAGTGGGATAAATGAAGAAAATGTCCGTGTCGGCGAAGCATTCAATCGTTAAACTACTGCCTTCGTAAATAATACGAATCTTAGTGATCGCTGTTGAGTCTGAAAAGAAGAGAAAGAATCTTATTCGATCAATAATAAAACGTAATCAATTGTCACAATCCATCTAGTAAATTGAATAAATAAATAAGATTCGACTAAGACGATGATTGTTTATGCACAC